CTCCGTAGGCAGTGCAGCCCTGCTTTAAGGGCTTGGGTTTAGGGTTAGGATTCAGGGTTAAGGATTCAGGGTTTATTTTGGGTTGAGGGATGTTGAGGGTTTAGGGCTTAGGGTCTAGGGTTGGGCTCATGGAATAAGAATGTCATATTCTGTGAGTCTGGCTCGTGCGGCTTCTTCCTTGAAGCCTCAGCCACCCTTCAAGGACTGCGGAAGAGGCTGTCACCTCATATCACCTCATGTTTCGAAGAGGGGGCCTTTTCATATTTTCCAAGAGACACCGAAGCCCTAAATCCTAAACCCTCATCACTCCATACCTTACACCTGAAGCTTAAGCGTATATGAGCCCTCATCCACTACCTGCAAGACTATGAACCCTAAACCCCAGTCTCACTCCAACTCACTCTCTGCCCGTGGACTGCGCCACCACATGAGTAAGGAAAGTGGCGACACCACAGCAAGCACGACAACATTTGCAAGAGCCTGGCTGCTTGCCGAGTTTGAAGGTTTTTTGAGTTTGGATTCCGGGTTTAGGGTTTAGGGTTTAGGGTTAAGGGTTTGGGGGGGGGGGATGTAGAAATTCAGACTGCCAGTTCAGGGTTCATAAGCTTCTGCGGTAACGTGTCGATCGAGTCTTGCGTGATGATCAGAGAGCACTAGGAGTGAATATCTCCCAGATTCGCAACAAAAAACAAAGATTCGAACAGGGATCTCTCGACATTTGAACGTGGGTTGGGGACTACTCATCTAATGTATCACAATCCCTTACCAGAGCGAACCCAAACAGGAACTGCATAGGAGCCTTTGGGTAGAGTTGAGGGGTAGCACACATCACACACACACACAAACATGGATGTGAGCTGCGTTGCAGAAATTCTCCATACGAGCTATAGTCGAAACTCCTAACATCTCCCTAACTTAGTAACCCCTATATAATACTCCCCTATATAATCCCGTAGATAGCCCCCTTCAAGGAGTTTAGACTATAGTTCATACGGGTAATGTAGAAGCTCAAATAATTATCGACATCATCTTGAAGTACTTGAGGTCTTTGAATTGAAGTAGAGCATGTATGTGGTGTAGGCTTTACAG